AATTCTCATACCTTCAGCTGGCTTGTGCCTGGCCTGTTTGGGCATGGGAAAGGGGAAGTTACAACCCAGAGAGGAGCATCCAAGCAGGCTGGTTTTAGATAGACCCGCCTCCCATGGCTCTAATTAGTGTTGCTGACTCCTTTAATATTTCATGGTATTCTGCATGGTGTATTTCCTCCTTCCCTTAAGTTGTAATTACAGAAGGTTTGCAAACAAGTCTGCTGCCCCAGGCTCAACAGTGGCAGCCAGTCTGTTTCCACAAAGCCCAAGTCAGAGCTGTTGCCCTTGTAGCGAAGCTGAGCAGTGCTAGAACTGCTGCACCCTCTTCTTCAAAGCCCGGGCCCTCCTGGGTGGCTGCAGCACAGCATGGGTCACTGCCTGTGTTAAGTACAAAGAGCTAGAGCTAGTTCAAACAATCTCAACAAGTATCCAAAATGGCTAAAGTACTACTTTTTTTCCCCTGTGTGGTTAAGTGTGGTTTAGGTGAACAAATGTCTTTGCTTCCTGTTTCTACTTGCCAACCCCATCTGAGAACTAGGAAAAGAAAATGGAGTCATCTAGACCTGCTGCACCGAAGACGTCTTTCAGAGGAGGTTTGCCAAAAGAAAGCTTGGCTAGGAAAGGTAACAGTCAGCTGTGTTAAAGCAGCTTATTTGTACTTTTGGGAAGAACCAGTGTAGAGTCTGATACAGCGCGCACAGAGAAACAGTCGTGGCTCTAGTGGCTAAAATGCAGACCAGGCAGCCACAAACGAGTTACTGAAATGTCACCTTAGGATTTGGAAGCGTGGCTTTTCATGCTATTGAAAGCACTGGGAAAACAGCAGTAAGATCCCTGCCTTTTTTTTTTTTTTCCTCCTCAATTATTTTGCAGGCAGGATGGATATCCCAAAGTCATGCTGGTTAATTGTAATGCATTGTTCTGAGGATGGAAACGTACGATATTTTTCTTTCACAGGTTTTAGTCACTTGGTCATTGTTTTAAATCTGGTAGTTTGCACTTCCACTGACTCTTGGATTAGGAATGTTGTGGGAAAGAATAACTACATACACAGTAGAATTACTCAAGTGCTTCTTTCTGCCTGAATCCCACCCAGGTGGGTTTATGCAGCTGGCTACTACTGCAGCAGCTTTTTCTGCATCTAAGTTTACATCTCTGATGGAGCATCCATGGGAGTAAGAGTAGTGATACTTGTTCTTCCAGTGGTGAAGTTATTCAAGCATCCTGTCTTTAAATGTTAGCAGGAGTACTCTGTTAGGCTCTATTCAGGCCTGTCCTCCTGGAAGCGCCACAGCCCCCAGACTGGAACCTGACACAGACAGGAAAACTGTAAGAGCCGCTTGCATGGCATCCGCGGGGCCAAATAACTCCCCGGGCCGTTAGATGTTGCAATACTCTGATAAAGCAAAGTGTCAGCAACGAGGGAGAGCACAGTCTGGTGATAAGAGTCATGTGGTCTAGAGTGGTCCCAGGGTGATCTGACAGAGCACGGGCTCTGTCTGCTCTGGGAAACAGGATAAAAGAACCTTATACAGCTGAGTAAGGCCAGGCTTGGACATGTCCACATGGTGGTACGCACATCCCCAAGCAAGATAAAAAGCTGCAGTAGGCACACACAGCTTCATTTTAATAGGGCTTAGAAGTTTGTATTTGTACTTATATTCCATTAAGGTCTTGGATGCAGAGATGAAACGTCTAGAGCCCTCTTAGCAGCAGGGAGCAGAACATAAGTGGCTTTAAAAAAAAAAACACAAAAAAAACCACACACACACAAAAAAAATAAACAAACTCAACTGATAATGGTAAACAAAGCACAAGGGAACTGGGGTGGGCCTTGCTGCATTTTAAGCTGGTATTTCCCAGCCTTGTGGGAGCAGCGCTTACAGCTATTTTCATAGCTTTACAGCCAATAGACAAACAGGCGAAATTTAGGTATGTGTTGCTTTTTTGTTTTTATTTTTTTTCCTGTTGTTTAGAATGTTGAATAAAAAAAGCAAACAAGCAGGGTTTTCTTACACATTTTATGGCTCCAAGTGTGACCTGGGCACTGAGCTCTCGGTTGGTCGCACCAGCAGCAGGTTCCTCACGACGCTGGCAGTCATGCAAACCCTGCCCTGCCTGGCAGTGGGTGTCCAGCTCTGTTGGGAGAGCGGCCGCAGGCAGTGCGAGCACTCGTGCCGATTCCAGCTGCATGCAGCACAGGACAGGAGGAGGAAAGGAGAGGGCTGGGCCCGTGACCAAGTTGGGTTAAGCAAATTTTCTAACCTTGTCCCAGTAGTGAAATGGGGCTACTGAAAAATTGGGTGGCTCGCTGGCTGGAGCAAAGCTGCACAGTAGAGCCAGAGCGGGCAGGGCACAGTGCCAGGGCTGCTGCAAGAAAGTGGCAAGTGCTTCGAGGTGCAGGAGCAGTCCAGGGCTTCCCAAAAAGTGTCTCATTTGACACACACTCACAGCAGTTCCCATCTCTCCCTCCCCCCCACCACGCCACCAGAGGAAGGGACTGCTGGAGGTAGTGGTAGGCAACCTTAGAAAAGCAAATGCAGCCTGTTCTTGGTTGCCCCCTTCCCACTCCCATTTGCCCGTCTGTGTGTGCTGCTCACCAAGGGCAGAAGCCCTCACGCTGTGAGCACTCTGGGAGCAGCAGCGCTGTGGTGGAGGCTTGGGGAAGAAGAAATGCTCTGGCACAGCTCTCTGGCTGTGCAGGCACTCAACTCAGACATCTGACCGCATCAATAGACATAAAGTTTCTCCAGGGATTTTTTTTTTTTCATTCTTCTGGCTGCTCAGCCTTTCTTTGGTCATCTTGTTTTATTGCTACCTTGTGAGGCATGAGGTGGTTCCCACGATGGCCAGCAAGAACAGGTGAAGAGGGGACAGAGGAAATGTGCTTACCCTTGCTCACGTCGGTAGTGGCTTGTGCAGCCCTTGCAGCTGGCAAGGCAACAAGCTGCTGCTTGTTGGGGCACACTGGAGACCAACCCAAACGCAGCCCAGTGGTTCCACAGCTGGGAACTGAACAGCAGTGCAGGAACAGCTTTACAGGCCACCAGGCTGAGCGAACTTGGTCCTTTTGCAAAGGGTTTCTTGGTTTTGGGGTTTTTTACCTAATTTTAACACCCTTCACATCCCCCCAGTCTAGAAAAAAACCCCACCAATTCTCCTCTTGCACCTTCCTGTAAAATGCTTGATGATATTTCCATTTCCTGATGGCACCTTGAGGACCTATAAGGCAGCAAGCCAGCTGGTTTATGTGCTCTGTCCCTTCCCCTAAACTGCAGAAACTCCCAACGCTGCCCCAAGCAATTAGACAGAGCAGGAAGCCCTGACCTTAGAGCAAAGCTGGGCGAGAGCTGGTCAGATCAGGCTTCTTAATGAATGGATACGGGTATGGAAAAGACCTACAAAGCATGTGAGACACGTAACTTTCAAGAACCTTTCCCCAGCAGCAGACGCACATGCAGGACAAGGGAGGCAGAAAAATTCCACCTCTCTACTGAGACACCGAGGAGGGACCAAAGCCTCGCAGCCTCAGGGCAACAGCGAAGCTCAGTGCCACTGCAACGTGTTTGCGAAGCCATTCTCGGGGCAAGCAGGTCTCTGTGGCGAGAGGAAGCGCTACTGCTATTTCTCTGCTTCTCAAAGGCCATCAAATTCAGACTATATACAACATATATAGAAATAACTTTTAATTAAAAAAAAACCCCAACCTTGCATCAAAGATTATTGTATCAGACATTGAGGCAAGATTCAAGTTTAAGACAAACCAGTGTTAAAAAAGTGTTTAGAAAAATAATCAGAATGTGCAATAAACTACAATGTAGCAATAGGTTATAGTGTTGAAACTTTACCAAACTGTTTTCAGATGCCCAGTGTGTATTTCCTGTAATTTTGACCCCTCCAAAAATTAATCTGGCACTAAAACTGGGTCATCTGTCCAGTGCCATTCCAGATATTACACATGGAAGAAAATTTTGCACGAAACCAGAAACTCTTATTAAATTGCCTTCAACTGCCCTACACAGAAAAACTTCCTGTTGATGGATTCACTATTTAATCTTTGTTAATACCTCTTGAGATTGCAGATACATTCCAAACTATGCTCTTCAGATGCAAGCTGAAATAGCTTGCTTTTGTTTCCTCACTGTGAACTTGCCGGGAAATTAAAAATCTATCCGGAATCACAATGGAAAGCTTTGGGGCCTTTTTCTTTATTGGTCTTCTAGACATCAATCATCTTTTCAACTAGTTACCAAATGTTGGCATACTTATGAGACTCTTACAAGGCACTGTAAAGAAACTAGAACAAGACTTTGTCTTTTAACATATTAAAGCAAAATATTATGAGCCTCATTAGCTACTGAAGGATTAAAGAAGATGACCCAAAACACAACATTCAAAGAACTGCGTCACTGATTTGGCTCGACTCCTCTTTCCTTCCGTTTCTCTATACCCACACGACTGAAGCAGAAACCCTACTTTCTGAGTAGCAGATATATTGGCTATTGAAATGCAGTGGTCTATTTCTATCTTAATGCTCGAGGTATGTCTATATGAAACATGCCCTGGCACTACTGAGAGCTGAGTACAAGATTTTAAGCTAGATGCAAGGCTTCCAGAAAGCCCACAGTGAAACTGCTGGTTCTCACCTACCCTCATCCTAGGTGTGGCTTACGCACATGCATTTAGAGAGGCAGATTTTTGCCTCATGCCACGGTCATGCCACGCAGGAAAATAATCTGAGGCTATCACTTCTCCCTGCTTTTTTTTTTTCAAGTAGTTTTTCTGTGTTCAGTTGAAGTTGTTGGTTAAGGTAGAGAGCATATCCTGCCGCACCAGAATCCACTAGAACCAGAAATGCATTTGAAAACAAACAGAACAGAAAAAGGATGATTTTTAACAAATGTGGCAATCTGACAACAGAAAGTGAATGGTGCCAGCAATTTATGTGCGCCCACTCCCAACACTGGGAGTATTAGACTTCCAGCTTGAAAGAATTACTTTCTCTTGGGGTTCAGGAAGAAGAAAGTGTTGTCTTTGGGATTTATCCTGCCTGTTACAAAGCAAGAAAGAAAATATATTATATGCAGCTAACGTACAGGTTCTGAATTGTGCTGTCATATGCTGTGTGAACAAGAGAGATTTTACCTTACACTTTTCTCCAACTTAATTGGCTTTCTTAATGAACCACATTATTCCCTGTCACCTTTGTTTTCTTGGATTGTTGACTCCCGGGCAAATGTTTTCGCAGTGTTCTGACTCTTCGGTAGATTGTTTTCGTGGTGGATGGCTGCTGTCTGGCAAACCAATGGGCACACAGGAAGTACAGAGAGAGTCGCTGGGGAAAGCTGCACTTGACATTTGAGTCTGATTCGTTATTTGATCTTGGCACAGTAAAGCTTCTACCTCTTCATCTTTTAGTGGAAAAACTCGAAGTTCCCACAGCCCAGACTGAAAGGAATCAGAAGGGTAGGAATGAGGGTGGAAAAGAGAAAAGAGGGGAGAAAGGGATTTCAGTTGAGTCTGAACTGATAAGCTGCGTGCAGAACACTCTGCTATCAAGTAACAAATGAGGGTCTTTCTTTACAATGTTTGCAGGGCTCTTCAGATAAAGAACAAGGCACTGCTAGGCACCAGCTGTCAGTGCAAGCTGGCTTCACACCGTTTTGAACTAGCAAGAGAGCTACAACTGAACAGGCACAGTACTGGGAGGGGTTCGCTCATTGCACGGTGCCATCAGGACACCTGACCCCACAAGGATCAGGCCTGTCTGGACGCCTGGCCAACAGCCCTGAAAAAAGATCTAGCGCCCCTGAACCCAGACTTGCCGTACTTGCCACAAAAACGCGCCGTGTGCACTGAGCAATGGAATTTTCACCTGTTGACAAATCCTTGGCTTAATTCATAAAGCAGAGCAATCTAGTTCCAAACAGGAGCACTATGCTCAGTCCACATAAACCAGGGCGGCAACCTGAGATTGTGGTCAGTAAGACGGGAGGGTATGTTCAGTCAGAGACAGTGGTCACTGAAGACCTGACCTATTGGAAGCACCCACCTTCGCTTCCTGGCTCTCCCTGCAGAGCTGTGCAAACCCCGAACAAGCAGAGCCGTGAGCTTCCGAACTCAAGTCAGGCACAGGTTCGGCAGCGCAGTGCAGCAAGGCGCAGGAGCTGCCGTGGTGGTCCTTCTGCACTGAATCTTGGCTGTGTCGTCCGTCGGCATTTTTGCTGTAAGATCTAGTGTGGGATGAGAGACGAGATTCTAAAGAGCTACCTCCCAGTCTTTCACATCACCAGAACAGTTCAGATTTTCTTCTTAAAGCGTTCAGTCTCTCCATATGTGCTACCTACATTCTACTTATTTAAATCAAAAGAGCAGATGAAAACAAAACACACGTGGGTTCTCGACAACCTCCTTGTCACAAGCCAAAGCCAAGCGTGCCATGTGGGGAGCTAACCTCATCAACCAGGGCTGTAACAGGCACACTCTGCCTGCGGAACAGCCAGCAGCTCGTCCCACTCCTGCACGCTGCTCCACACGCTGACCAGGCTCACCAGAACGGTAATTTTGGACAACAGTGAGCCACGGGCTGTTCCTGCTCCGGAGAATGTGGCATCATTCGCAGGAGCCTGTGCCATCAGCAGACTGTGCCAATATAAATTGAGAAGAAATGGCAGGTCCTTGGGCTCCCCCTTCCCACATCTGCCCTCCACTCATCTCCCAAGCAGTCGAAATCACTGAGTAAGATTAAAAATTTTGACCTCACCTTTACTGCAAATTTGAACTAGCTACTGGCATGCATACTAAATTCCAGGTGCAAGTCTGACCTTGCTCACATCAATGGCAGTTTTACTTCTGAATTCAAACAGCACTAAGATTTCGCCAAGGAAGTTACTGAGTTTCTGAATAAAGGGTACACACAGAACTTGTATGTTTTCAGTACACTTTCTATTTTCTTTTTCATGTTCAAAATTGCTTAAAATAAAATTCCTTGATACAGTTTACATCTAATTTTATCCTGCATTAAAAAAGTGCTATTTTTGTGTATTTACTCATAGCGTCACGGTTCACTTTCAGCCAAGAGTAGACAAAAGTGTATGATAAATAGCAGCAAAAAGTTATTCCAGCATTTTATAGGATGCTTTTTGTCCTGGCAGATTCTGAAGCGGTTACGAGAATTTTTTTTTTTCCCAGGGCCAAACTGCAGATACAGCTTTATGACATTCGCTCTTGTACACACTGTTTTTTGCAAGACTTTTAGAGGTTATGTGTAACTCTCATGAGATTTGCACCAGACAGCAAGGCTGTGAGAATTAACCTTTTTCACACAATGACTTTTTTAAGCGTAAGGACCCTGGCACAGCCCAAGACCCTTCAGTAAGGGGTCTCAGAACACCATGGACATTCACCTGAGGCAGGTGAGTGAGGAAGGGCTCATGTTACACTTGGTGTCTGAAGTCTTAATAACTGGGAGTGGCACAAACTCCGTACGGGAGTAAGATTTTGTTCACTAATACCAGGTCACTAACACACCAAATTCAAGTATGTGTGCTTCAGAACTGCCTCCCATTTCCAGCCACAAAACCACACACATGTGGCACTGTCCCTGAGGAGTTAATTAACCGTGAGTGCCCTCATTTTCACTTCTTTGTGACAGCATTTCTGAATCTGCTGCACCGACTCCCAACACCAGTGGTTCGACAGGACCGCTCTTATCAAGGTCAGTACACCTGCCTGCTATTCCTCCTGGGCCAGCGGCTCTGCTCCCACAGCGACCACCTTGCGCGCTCTCTTTCTTCATACTTGGTGTGACGTAAGGAAAAAACTTCATCTGACAGATCTTCTGTCTGCAACAGAACACAAAGATAGCTCCTGCCGTAATTCTGAATGTCACTAGAAGCAAAGGTGGCAAATATGTAAAGGTCTGTTCACCAAACAAGAGGAGCCAACGCAATGGATCCTTGCAGTATAACGGCACATCAGAACCCACGCGTCCAGCTTATGCTCTCGCTAGAGCTCCAGTATATGCTGTCACTTCCACTTTCTTTACATGTCTGTGGTTGAGCTGAATGGATACAGAAATTACACACTCCCCATGCAACTAACACATTTTTCTCTACGGTGAGAGGCAGAAAATCAAGAGGACAAGCATTCATTTGCAAATCAAGTCAGTATGAAAAGTACATAATAAAGACAAGCAAAAATGCTAGGAGTTTCCACAGACTGCTTTGGGAGGAGGCTGGGAGGCAGCAGGATTTGCCAGGTGCTCTTCAGGCATGGAGAAACAGGCCTGAGATCACCAAGAACGTCGATAGCTCCAAACTGAGAGGAACTCAGCAAACCTGAGATGCTGCATTAAAAAGCAGAAAATCGTTTCTGCTTTGAAGAGACTATTTCTTAGCAAATGACTTGCATGACCTGAGTACAGCTAAAAATCACCCTTTTGTGACTACTTTAACTGCTTGTAGGCAACCTGGTTAAGATAAAACTCCTGAGAGGTAGCTATCGCATCTGATCTTCACTTGGAAAAAGCCATCTTTATTTCTCTGTTGGCAGCACACCAGGAAGTTTGCTCCTCAGACACAGCTGGGCGACAAGCACTTTGCTGCTCTTCCCTCTCGCTCCCCAGATGAGTGGGGAGAGCTCTTGGCCGGACCCCTCTAGCACAGCTCAAAGTTATTTCAAAGTGCTCCAAATCATTCAGCCTCTTCCAAGTTCACGCAGAAAGCTACGGTGAGAGAGTGTGAGTGCTGCAACCATGGATTTTACGCCAGCCACTCCCAACTCAAAAGCAGAGAAATTCTAGGAAAGATCAGTTCCTGGACCCAGTAGCTGTGAAGCTGCACTGCCAGATCAGTCCTGGCTAAGAATTACACCAATAAGCGAGATGACATGGAAGATAAATCTTTTTCTATAAAGCAAAATGCTCAGTGGCATGATACGAGTACCACTGTTGACTGATAACAATACAGAACCAAGTGCAGAGCCCTCACTGTGGTGCCAGACAGCACCACGTCGGCTGGGCGTACCCCACTCCGGACAGCTAACGGCGCGGAGGCTCCCTGCAGAAGCCATTCTTTGCATCGGGCCTTGCAGCACCCAGGTAGTTCATGACCATTCTGGGGACAAAGGCGAAGTATCACAGTACGTTTATGCTGCTGTAAACTATCTGGTAGTGGCACCTCAGCTTTCCAGAGAGCGTATTTCCAACCAAGGCAGCTGGTCATGAACCACAGCACCATGGTGAAATTTCATGGGGTCAGTGAAAAGGATCCCAAAGGCTTCAGCATGATCTAAATCAGCCATGGGACCTGCTTGCTAAAACTGTTCCTCCTCAGCCGAGCACTCAACAGGAACCTTTTGACAAAAGAGGTGGACTTTGTTTGCCCATCTCATGACTGCTTTCTGAAGACTCCTCATTGCTTTTATTTATTTATGTTAAACACAAACCACTTTGTTTCCTTTCATGCAAGTCAACTTAATGGGTTTCCTCCTCTCTCTGGAATTCACCAGCTCTCTCACTTGGCATCGGGATGGGGCTGCAGCTCAGTTCAGGTTCTGTCTTTCCAAGGTCAGTGATGTATAGCGTGAAAGTGAGAATTTTATGAACTACAAAAGTGCTATTCCCTCAGGGAAAATTCGTGATTTTTCTGTGTTCTCAGATTTCCTTTGAAGTGGAAACAAAAGATAATTTTGAAAGAAAAACTTAAGACTTTGAAAATACTTTTCTTAGCAAATTGCCAAAACTTTTCATGCTGGGAAGAAACTTCATTTTTAACAAGCTTCCTTTCAAAAATTAAAGTCCACATTCCTCTCCAAGTGAAAAGTTTCGAAAAATACAGAAATAAGCCTTACTGTTCCTTTTCTATAGGCGGTGATAGCAGATTTAACTACTTATTTATGTAAAATGAGTTCTACCATATTCCACTGAAGACTAACAAGTAATACATTTTCTTGTTTAAAAATTCTTCTTTGTTCTCTGGGTAAAATCACATTACATCACAGTAAAAGGTCTCTAGTTGGTTCAGAACATCCTCCGCCGCTCACCAGCTTTGTAACACTTATCCTCCACCAACTTTGGGTTAATTTACAACTGGAGAAATTTGCTATTTCCCCCCCACTAAGGTTAGTTTGAAAAAGGACAAAGGAACTGTCATTCCTCAGTGGATGGATCTGGTAGTGGCGTTGGGAGAAAAGACTATTAGGAAGGCCTGTTTGTGAGGCATGTCTAATGATTTCACTCAAAGAAAAAGCCTTAGAGCAAACTAAGGTTTGGATTCCCCTCTCCATCACATCTAGTTAAGCTACAAGACGCTGTGCATTAATGTTGACTAGCACCAGGGATATTTCTGAGAGGTTCTCAAAACAACGAAGTCTGTATTTCAGTCTTTGGCCTCATGGGAAACACTGAGTCATAAGCCATGAAAACACTTATGCAAAACTAATTACACACAGAATTATTCCAAAGTCATTACTAAAATAACTACAAAATAAATTTGAACATCACTTTACAACCCTGTCTTGCCAGAAACTTTAACCTGGACAAAACAAGTTAAAATCAAAATAAAACAGGAAAACCCGTGCCACACCCTCCCATGCCTTAAAGCAATAACAGGCTGCAAATTCATACACACAAACCAGGAAACTCAAATGCTCTATTTCCAAAACCGAAGTATTTTTAGAGCAAGTAGTAGAGCAGACATAGATAGTAGATTAAATTTTGCATTGGCCAACTCTTAGGGTTGTCCTTGTAAGGCGAAATTTCTAGAAATAAAAATTAGGCACCCAGGAAAGGTAAGCTTTTTGTATTCCAAAGAAGTCACAGTGAATAGGCCTGATTTCCAGCAAGTGGCTCCTGCAGAATGTGACAAATTTGAGGCCTCACATTTTTTTTGCAACTTGAAGAAAATTTGAGTGCAGTCTATTGCATGAATACAGGCTGTTGCATTGAAAGCCTTTAAATGAAATAAAAAAGGTGGGGGGAAGCCCAAAAGATAGCAAGTGGAAGAAAACCCTAACTGCTGCTTGCTACAATGACAACTCCAGAAGTTTTAAATTTAGCCATGCAGAAGATAGGGCAGAAAAGAAACTACTACAGAGCACCACTACAGGCTGCTATGCAGTAGAAAGCAAAGAAGAGGCTCACTTTATAGAAAAGCAGAACATACATTTTGCCCTCTCTTGTCCTTCACGAATGATCTAGTGAGGCTTGTCTTCATTTCAGCACAAGGCACAATTTCAAGAGTGTCAGAATATGGATGCAGAAAATGCAAAACGGTAACGCTGCTGTTTTGCCATGTCTTTCTTCAAACTTACTTGGTAACAAATCTAACTCAGCTTAAAACCTAAAGCAAGGGAGTGGAAGAATTATGATCCGAGAACCACCTTGTCTCAGCACTTTGAAAAACATCCAAACCAATTAACATGATCCCGAAAGAAAGACTGGAAATTGGCAAAGGATAATTTAGACAAACAAGTTCTTTAGCATTTGTCTCTTGTCTGACATCTCCCTTCTCTGATTCGCCCCAGCAGCTGACACACAATACAGAAGCAGTGGACCACAGCAGGAGGCAAAGCTGCTTTATTGTTAACACAAGTTATTTCCTGGCCAAAGGATGAATCACACAGGATCAAGTAGTCCTGCCAAATACAAATGTAGCAGGAGGGCTACTAAGCAAGCGATTAGCCTGTAAGCTTCACAGGGAGACACCTTGAAGCCCCTTCAGCAAAATACTCTAAAACTATGTGAGACAAGTCATCTGTGTGGGATGGGAAATCTAAACAAGAAATCCACTGAGTTCTCCAAGCAAGTCCCTTGAAGCTCTGCAGGAAAATCATCATTGAAATAATTTTTACTTTTTTCCCCCCACAGATACCAGGATGAAGAGAGAGAAATGAACAGTTATGTTCTCAAGGGACAGGGCGCCCTTGCTGCCTTATTAGCGATTCTCCAAACGGTTTAATTGAATATCCTGCAGGAGAGTTCTCCTGTGTATGTAATTTGACCTTCTCACTACAAAAGAAGATCAGGCATGTTTCCTGCTAGAGGAGACAGTACCAAACCAAATGGCGGTGGTGGAGGTGATATAAGTCTGACCACCAGATTTCACAAGAATTTCCCAAGTACATGTGAAAGGCAGGGAGAGAGTAAGTTTTTCTCTTCCTTTTGACCCAAGAGGATGGTGCCAAATAAGTGCAACTACACGAGGTAGGGAGCTAAGACCATGAGGCTCACCATGAAGCTGGCAGCTACAGACCTAGCAGAATTCTGAGCAAGCTAGTGCCTTTTTGGACAGTGTATTTCCTACCCCATGAAAGTGGTGTAATGATTTCATTTGCTTACTGTGTTTAGCATAAGCTTCTGTACTGCTATCCAAACACAATCTCTTTCTGCCACAAAGGGCACCTAAACCCCAGTTGTAGAGATTCTCTGAAAAAGGAGCTCAGGAGCAGATCTTGTGGATGAAGGTACGAGTAAGTCCTGCAGTTACAAGAGTTGATAGTGGCCTACAGCAAAGATGGGAGCGAGATTAGAAATATCCAAAGGACAGCAAACCTGGCAGGTGTCTGGAAAAGGAGCCACAAAAAGATTGGAAGGACAGAAAACCAACCTAGACTAGGCCTGCTTGTACGTTCACACTGCGGTCAGGAAATGCCTCAGACCCCTGATTACAGGAGAAAGGGAACCCCAGGTACAAAGCCCACAGACATTCCCTGGAAGAAAAAGGTAGATTCATCTCTGGAGGAAGCAACACTAGCACACGATGTACAAACTTAGCTCAAGAGGCAAGGAGGAAATGCTGAAGGTTTCGTTGTTCCTGACAAAGCAGAAAGAAGTAAAGTGTGCTCGGAACAGGAGGGCTGCCAGAAAACGAACACCGCAAAGAAAATCGAGGAAACCTGCTGGGCCCACAGGCAAAACGCCCAATTACCTCCTGAAGAGCAACAGGCCACCAGAACTGGCCATCAAAGAAGTGGCAGAGAGAGAAGGCCAGGCCTTACAGCACAGGGAACCCTGGAGAGAGAGTTGCGCTGGGAGCCCCAGCAGCCCTCGGGAGAAGAGGAAGCAGAGCCTGGACCACAGGGAGCCTTTGGGAGTGTCCACTGAGCCCACAGCAAGGGACAGAAGAACCAAATGAACAAGTGAAAAACAATTATTAATGGAGATACTCACGTTTCTGTCATCCACCATAGGGTCGAGTAAGTTGGGATGAGACACATTTTCACCTTCTGATACTTAATACTTTATTTTTGAAATTTGAAACTTAGCAGGATTTGCAGGAAGTCAGTGACTTTGCAAAGTATATACTGATTATCCCAGTTATATATTATATCTAGTTTAATTAAAATCTAGTGGTGTAATTAAATACGGCCTACCTCTTCTTCATCTGTATCGGTTTTTTCTAAAGGTTGAAATTCAACAACTCTCCAGCTAGAAATGAGACAAGAAAAGTCACATTAATTTACTTAAATGCTGTTTCAGTATTTCAGCAGTAGAGATAACTCCTCTTTTTCTACATTATATTGTTAGTTCCTTCTTCTTCAACACTTCTTGTGCTTCAAAATTTCTTTCAAATGAAATTATTTCAAATTTAAGGTGCTGAAAACAGATAGCCAAGATTTGTATTATCCTTTCCCAACCTAACATCTAACGTTTCCTTTTCCAACACAGTCTTTAAGCCATCCAATAGTGTCTTAATAATATTTTTAGCTTTACAGACAATATAAAAGCAAATCCAAATTAGAGTTTTAAAATATGAACAACTGCATTTAGAGATTTCACGCAATTTACTACTAAGCCACTGAATTACAGCACAGGAGATCAATTACCCTGTTTTAGCAATCTGAAGATATTATTTTTCTAAATAAATAAATACATTTTACAAAAACCTCTAGAATTATGGATTATAGATTTACACTGTATGGAAAAAAAAAACTTGTTCTACTATATCAGAATGGATAGATTTTAAAAGTACATGCTAAACCCTGCTGAATTCTGCTTAATTCACCAAAAATAGTTATTTTCTTATGAACTGTAACAGATAAAAAAGGCAGTGATGTCCAACCAAGCACTCAGAGCATGTCAGCCTCATGGCACATTTAAGGCCCCGAACACAGTCACTACAATTAAGATAATATAAACCCACTCCTATATTTAGCCAGGCTGCACATCTGCCACCTCCTTGTGTGCATCAGACTTCTGCCATCAGCTGTCCAGGCTTCCCACCACTCCAGTCACACAAACTGAAGTGCACAGAAGAAAACCCAATGGAACGCATGAAAACATCATCTCGATATAAAATTATCTAACTACATGCTAGTGACGTTCTTAGTTAACATTCTCATGTTCACTTTTGTATCTTCTTTGCAACTAAGCAGGTTGTGAACCAACCTTGGGGTAAGGATTTCTTTGTACTGTAGTTTCTCCAGCTTCGATGGTGCCACCAACGACATGGGAATAACAATGTTGTCTATATCATAGGAGCTCTCACTTCTCAACCTCCTCCTGGAATTATGCTGTATAATACAATCCACACAAGAGGACATTCATCAGCATAAATCATAGGAACTACTTTAGCTGAGAAACATTAGAACTGCATAAGGAGAAAGCTTCTAACTTGAACCCATTTCCCAGTGGCTTAATGACGTCTGACTTCCCGTCCACACTCCCAGGTGGAATCTCAACACATCTTAAAACTATCTCATCTCTGATATTTACTTCTTGCTGGCATAACTCTTACCGAAATCAGTGGGAGTTTCCCTCCTTGACTTCAGTTACAATTAATTCTGAATACTTAGGAGAACTCTGAAGTTAATGCTACCAGTGAAGATAATGCTAATGCTAGCAGTGAAGAACAGCCTGCACGCAAAGTGGTTTTCTTAAAGACATGCAAAAGACAGAAACTGAATTTCTTTGCCGTGATCACAGTAGGATTCCTGGTAATGTTCTCTGCTCACCAGTGCAAAGAACCTACATGGGCCAAAAACTGAAGTTCCTCAATTACAGGAGAAAGCTTAGTTTTAAATCATGATATACTCTGTATGACAATATCTTAATTTTTTAGCCGAACATTAATGGAAGCACTCTATTCTAAAATGCTCATTTAGGTGTTCTTTGACAATGGTCAGCTCAAGCAAGAGAATAAAAGAGGAGTGTGCATTGTCAAAACTGTGGAGGGGACGCAGATTTAAACTCGGCTCTCCAGGAGTCATCACCAGACTGAAACATGATGACTTAGAGAGGACCAGTACACCATTAGGCTTAGTGGAACTGTGGGACTCAAATCTGAATATTATTATGAAATTCTCAATGCATTCCAATAAACAAAGTGTGTTTATGCAGGGATTTCACCAAACCAGAGCTCTGCTGCTCCTCCGAAAATTTATACACCAGAGACTTTGCCTGTAGTTCTGTGCAAAAAATTTTAAATAGCGGAGCTGAGAGTTAAAAAATTCTGTGACTATATTTGCACCGTGCAGCCATTTTATGTAGCTGCACCAAGACAAAAGAGTCCTAAGATCCCTTGTGTAAAATTGGGAACATAAAACACAATATATTTAATGAAATTTGGAGGAAAAAAAAAGAAGGCCCAATGCCAATAAACTAAACTTACACTCCAGTTCTGTGATCTGCAAAATTCTTTTACAAGCAGTATCTGTTTTAGGAACACCACATACTCGATCTGGAATAAATTACTTAATGTAACCCACTGGAAAAGTGCTCTGTACTGTAATTTAACACTAACTTAGATATCTAAGGCACGCGCTTTAAAACTGTAAGTTCGCACAACTCACTGTTGGTACTTTAGTTAAGCCAGGGATACATTTTTGGTTTACCTGTGATGAATTGCTGTGAGTGGGCCTAGACATCGCATTGACATTGGTCACGGCAGCAAAACTGCTATGGGGTTCCGGTTCTCCATGTTGAAAGGAGAATGTCTCAAACCTAGTGTTACGTTCGCCTGTCACAAAAAAATAATAACAAAAAAATAATGCCTACTACTGTTGTCTATTGGACTAGAGATATTTTTCCATACAGTAATAGTAAAGCCATTTGTAGAAGCCCACAGCTAACCACTTCCAATTTACCAAATACTATAAAAAGCCGTTTGAATAAACACTTGCTACTCATCCTGTCATTGTTGCCCCACAAACCTTATCCCTCTCCTGCTACAAAGGATTTCTTCTCATGGAACCAGCTTCATGGGGGCAAATCCTACTTATAAGGAGCAGCCACAGACTTCCCGCAGAGCAAATGCAAGCAGACTTAGAGGAACACTCCCCAGTGTTCCCTAAGGGTGCTTCCCTTGCTGGGGCGCATCTCACTGATGCACTAGTTCGCTGAGCCCTCGCTGACCGTTTCTTCCTTGATAAATGATAAACCAAAACTGGCAGCAAGTGTAACAAACAAAATTAGTTTCTAGATCTCCACTTGCAGTTTCTTCTAGTAGTGGTCCACTGCTCCAGACGAATGGCAATTCTTGTTTACTCATATTCTGTCCCAGTGTAAGCAGCATTTAGGGGGATTCAGAATCACAGAATTGTTGAGGCTGGAAAAGACCTCTGAGTTCATCAAGTCCAGCCTGTGACTCAGCAGCATCAAAACGGCCAGACCACAGCACTAAGTGCCACATCCAGCCTCTCCTTAAACACCTCCAGGGACGGTGACTCCACCACTTCCCTGGGCAGTGCATCCCAGTGCCTGAGCACCCTCTGCGTGAGGAAGTGTTTCCTGAGATCCAACCTAAACCTGCCCTGATGCAGTTTCAGGCCGTGCCCTCTCGTCCTGTCACTGGATGTCTGGGAGAAGAGCCTGACCCTCACCTGACTACACCCTCCCTTCAAGCAGTTGTAGAGAGTGATAAGGTCCCCCCTGAGTCTCCTCTTCTCCAGGCTAGACACCCCCAGCTCCCTCAGTTTCTCCTCACAGGACTATGAAGATGTAACCACCTGTATTCTCCTCTCCTTCTACCTCAATTTCCAGTAAGAAAAAAGAGCTCAGATTTAATATACCAACTAACAAAAAGAATCAGTGTATTTCAGTAAACTGATCCTAAAAGACTAGACTATTGCACATGCTGGGTCAAGGACATGAACTCTCATCTCCCAGACAGCTCTGTAACTCCCTGGCACACAGCTTTTATTTTTGGCCTTGTTCATCAGGCTGACCTTCCCCATGGATAATTTCTCCTAGACAAAGCCCAAATTAGGAATAAATATGTAGTACTACACCCACAGCACTAATAAGCTAGAACCGCTGCTGCTACTCACAAATACACCACATGGCAGTTTTCTGGCAATGGGTAACTATGATCCTTGTGGTAAAAGACTGTGTCTTTTGTTCCATTAACTCAAAAGAACTCAACACTATTGGCAGAAGACTAGCTGTACCATCAAAAGGTTTGGAGCCAGAAGTTTTCTCTTACTAGTGCTCCCAAGTAACTCCAGTTGTTGATGTCAGCGTGCGTGTCGGCGCACTTAGGGAAACGACGCGGCTGCAAGAAATGCTGTGTCAGCACCTGCCTTTTGGGGAGCAGTGACGGGCGAGGGGAGCCTTTTGGGCAGCAGTGACGGGCGAGAGGAGCGGGCGAGTGGGAAAAGGGATGACGGGACGTGAGGGGGACAGGGCAATGCACCCCCTGCCCAGACGGGCACAGAGCGTAAGAGAAGGCTGTCCAGCACATGGGGAGGACTGCGATGCACGTAGGCAAAGGTGAAAAGAAAAAAAACCCTCTTCAAAATCCAATAATGTTTTCAGTGTGTCCAGAACCATCTTTTACCCCTCTCCCGTAACTCTCTAATCTCTTTTTGGTTTGGGGTTGTTGTGGTTTGTGGTGCTTTGCACTTTTTAAAAAAGCTAGATTAAAATTTTTGGATAAATCATCTCTGCAGTAATTCCTATATCTCACCTTCACTGCAAGTTTATACCAGCAGTTTTACCTGGATACGCATCAAAAGTGTACTTTTCCACAACGTTACCTGATCATTTATATCTTTTAATTCTGTCTTATGGGAAATTTTAAACTAATATAGTTTGTCCTCTTACTCGGCAATTTATTTTCTTCAAATGTCTTGCGAGGAATTTTGCCAAAAGTTCTCCAAAAGTTCACGTAAATGAATCTGTAACAGAATCTGTTAGGTTTTACCTTCTAATAGCCTGGAGAGGTAAGATGCTATTTATCTTTAAAATGGTACACTGAATTCTTTGTCCGTAACATCACATTATTCTACAGAACTTTCAGAGCACTTTCTATTAATTTATCAAGTGCCGATGCAGAGATTCAAGGGCTTAAAATATAAACACAACAAGGGTGAAAACATTAATTATAAGCACTGGCTACCCACAAGTCCTCTTAACAGTCTGGGAGGAAACCAGAATCACAAATGACAGTACACAACAAATGAAACATAGCTGACCAAAGATGCCAAGAATAGTAAATGTCTGGTTGGGCACATGACTTGACAGCAAACTCTGAAATTCAGCCTGCTGCACTGATTACTATAAAAAAAAACAACGCTTCGTATAAAAAAATGACACCCAGTATTAGAAAAATACTCTTGGACTGCTGAGCAGTTTCCTTTGAAGAGTATTCCAAAAATAAAATACAGAAGCTTGTCTCCGTTTGTAACATATACTCAACAAGAAAGAGAAGGATTACTGTGCTTTAGAATAGCAAATTATTTTCATGGTGTCATAAGTCAGTTTCTTCACTCCTATGAAGTTTCCTAACAGTATCCTTTTTGGAGACAAAATTAATTCTCAAAGCCCAATAATAATAAATCCATTTGTACAGTACATATTTTAAAAGAAATAGTGTCATCTTAAGCAATGCCATTTTTCTCTTACCTACTGCTGTCTCACTTAGATGTCTTTTCTTTCTTCCTTCTGACAGCTGGTCAGATGTTCCTGACTCTGACTGAGATTTGGAATTAGATAAACAGCCACTGCCCCATTGTTTGACTGAAACATTATGTTGATTACAGTCTACAACAGAAAAAGCATGTATCAACTTGAAAACTTACTTTCCATTGGTGCAATTTACAAGCAATCTCAACTGCTGAACTATTTGTAATAGAAAAAAAAAACCACCCAGGGTTCTGATAGGAATTCAAATAGTAAACAATAGTGCGGTCAGGCACCTGTATCTGGAGAAAACCCACGGTTCAAACTCATCCCACTGGTGTTAGTGCCCTCCTACGGCTCGGATGGGATTGTTTCAGTGCAACTAAGGAGAACCTGACACTGTGGTCTGGGAAGAGATTCCACTTCCACTTAAAGTCTTAGCCAATAACCGTCTCTGATAACCTGCTTTGTGCTCAGTTTATAAATTGACTCTCTGCAGGGCAGGAAGTACTAGCAAATGAATGAAAAACGATCTTGTAAATAGTAAAAAATTTTGCTTTACATACCGTTGTCTGGAGATACTTTAAACTCCGCTCCCAAAGATGAGGTATCAACAGGTTCTCCCTTGATGTCATCCTTCCTTAATAATGTTTCAAAGTATATGTGAAGAGGAATATCTAACAAAAAAGAATAATAATCCAAATGGAGTGGCGTCTGTATCAGAAAGATGGCAACCTATGAGCCAATGAATTACATACCATCACTAAAGCTCTAGGGATCAATTTACAACACTATGTGATATAATCCATGAGCAATACTGCTGCCTTGAGTCCTTCAACTCACAAAGAACAGCAGGGCTCAGTAACTCCTGCAAGGACCGACCACTTGTATGAATGTCTTCACATGGGCAAGGTGAAGGCAGTATAGGAAAATATGTCCTCAAACTGGTGAGATCAAAGGAAAACTCGATGACAACATCCCAGAAACGCCCAGCCAGAAATTCCTAGGAAGTGATTTTTGCATGAGTGTTAAAGAAAATTTGAGGCAAGGTAATTTGCAGCAAGATAGATATGGTCCAAGTACTACCTTCCACTACAGGCAAAGACCTGTAGTCTTTCCTAGCAGTTATCTACGCAGTGCATGAGAATCTCCAGTAACTGCCTGGAGGTAAGAACTCCAGGTACCTGTCTTTTTATTAATGGGAAGGAAGATTTTTGCCACGGTAAAAACCAATCCATTTTTAGCTGTGAAGCTTCAGTGCCATATGTGCTGAGCAAGGCAGCGTGCTTAAGCAGTCCCAAGCTCCCCAGCACTAAGAGCTGCTAAGGGCTGACAACACAACTGAGATCCAGGTAGGACTCAAACCGAAGGAATGCTCCTGAAGAAAAACCAGAGCAGGCACTCACAATTAAGATTTTTTTTGGTGTTCAAAGTAAGAGAGAGCAGGGTTGTAGTACTCCAGAAGAAACTCTGTCTGTACCTGCAATTACACCAGAATTATTCTTCACAAAATCAAGCTCTGGAGGGTGTGAAGTTGAGAGTAGGGCTGGAGTCCTCCCCTCTTGCCTAATTCCTGCACAAAATCCAGCATGGGGAAAAGCATGCGGTGCCCTTTTCCTCTAAACTGAAAAGGCTTTGGTCCATCCTTTTGGGTACAAGTAATTATGCTTTTTATATTGTTACTGCTGGAAGCCTAGAGGTAATTTCAAGGTACATTCCTTCTTTCTCTCTCTGGCAAAGGCTACAGCAGGGCAATGTAATTCATTTCCTGAGGGAGCTCTAACCCAGAGTTTAGTCTGCAAAACATCTCAAGTGGTAAGGAATTTCCCTGCTCTTGTACAGCAGGAAGGCTTGAGAAAAATAGGTCTCTATCTGAAACGTCTTTCCAGAAATAAAATTACAAGAAAGAAGAGAAATTAAGTAGAAGGAAATAATGTCGATGTGAGAAGCAGGCTTGACAACTATTATGTTCAGAATGAGAAGAGGACCAAGGGCAGGCCCAAAGGGTGGGCATTAAACTACTTTTATTTGCATATGACCTCAGCCTTGTGTGCCTTCAGAACTTGTCAGGAAGAAAAACTTTCAACATATTTTGGTAACCAGAAAGAACAATTCATCTCAGTTTGACAGGGATCTAACTAGGTATTTTGTCACAAGACCCCAAGGTTTTTGCTGTGTTTCCTATTCCACCTCTGAGCAAAACATAAAGAAGGTCTGAATGGTTTATTAGTCACAACGTTTAAGTAAAGAAATAAACAAAACATTTCTCCTGCAGTTTCTGTTTGTTTTTTCTTTTTTGCAAAACAACCTGGATATCTCAGACATTTTCTCTGCTGCAGCAGAGGAGATTCTGCATCTTAATCAAAAGAGAAGGAGTGTTTGTTCCAGTTTATCCATAGGCTAGATGCAGAAATACCAGAACTCTAAATTTCTTAAGATACAAACTACAATGTTCCAGTTTTCGGGGTGCAAGTTTAAAGAGGTGCTTTTATGTTCAAAGGATGCTGCAACCACTGACATACTTTGGTGATCTGAAGGCAAGACTTAGAACTGTAAGGACAACTATGCTTCCAAAAGTGAGGATACTAGTGAGACAGTGCCACTACGCTCTATTTACTAGGTTGTCTGCAAATTACAATTCTCCTCTGAAAGCAATAAACAAGAGAGTAAGTACTCTGAAAGTAAAAAAACAAGGTACAAGGGAGAACAACATCTGAATCTTCAACTTGAATCCCTCTTTACACATTGAAAAATCAAACTTCCAGAGTTTAAACATGGAACAAATACCAATAATATTTTTTGTAACGCACAGAGGAAATTAAAACAACTCCCTTTTCTTTTACTCTGCTGACAAACTTTTTTTTTTTTTCCCCCCCCAGAAAGAGTAATAAAAGATGTGGGCACACCACAAGCACTATTTTAAGAGAAGTTATCCCTCTGGAAGGGCTAAGTAGGGAAGCCGTAAAGAATACACGAAAATTAATCAAGCTACCTGACCATGTATGCACTTACACACAGTAATTCTTTCATATGAAAGAAAAACAGGCGAGTGGTCTTCATGAGGAGGTAGAGACAAGGAACACATTCAGAGCATGAATCTAGCCTCCCTCTAAAAACAAGGACTGCATCGGAGCAGGAGATAGAATCATAGAATAGAATCACAGAATGTGTTGGGTTGGAAGGGACCTCTAAAGGTCATCTAGTCCATCCCCCTGCAGTAGGCAGGGACAGCTTAACTAGACCAGCCAGAATGTTTAGGAATTTTTTCCTGTCTCATCTATTATTAGCAAGGCTAAGGCTCCTTGAAAAGAGAATAAATATTCGTCAGAAGATGTTCTTGGTATTGGAACAAAGCTAAATTACATTTTTCTTCATCCTGGCAAAGTGACCAACAGTAGCCACAATTCAATCCAAAGCCTTTCAGTTTTTCTCATGATGATTCATCTTTTTTCAAAAAAAAGAAAATGTCAATATTCTTGTTAAACTTTCAGGTCTCCTGTAAGAGTAAAGTAAGAATAGATGCAAGGGACATAGCCTTACATGAGTATCCTTGAACAGATTTATAATGCCCCTGGCTCTTGTTCAGCTGGGGTCACAGGGTAAGTGATGGAGAATGTGTGTAAAGAAGAAAGGTTTAAGAGGTGTTCTCTCCACAACAGAGACCTACTGACTGGGATGCTTGCTGTTGCACTCTTGGTGCATTCTGCTTCCCCTGTCTGTTCCTCAAAATAATCTCCCCTTTACCCGAAACATGGGATTTAAACCCTCATAGACTTGCAAAAATTGAGACCTTCTCAGGATTCCATGTCTACACTTGGGTCTTCTCTACTGGCCAATGACAAGTTCTCCAAACCTAAGACTTACTTTAATCCCTGACTTTCTAATACCAGGCTGCGGCATTTACGTTGTCATTCTGGAAAGACAGTGGGTTTGATTAAAGACTCAAATAGTTCCATAGAAGTCCCAGCCTCACGTGCAAGATTTTTTTGTGGCAGAGAAGCCCCCCAGAACAGCAGAATTCCTGTACTGGTCAGCAACTACTTGGAAAGAGTTTTTTCCTAAAACAAAAAATTCCAGTAATATGAATCTCTTCTGCTGATAACAGCTTTTAATATGCTATTTTGAAGCTCCAAGTGCTGTCAGGTTGCACCTGCACTAGTTTCAGGGCTGAGTCACAAACATCATCATCTGTATTACTGTTCAAAAAGATTAAAGAATCAGACGACATAAACCATAAACTTCAAAGATCATCAGAAAAGCTGACACCAATCAGAAAACCTAAATTTAGCTTTAGCTTTCTGGACCAAGTCCAAAGGGCCTGAACTCAAAGTTGCCTAGAAAACAACAGACCCGAGGTATGGCTGTGTGCTGGCAAAAGCACCAATCAAAAGACTAACAGTGACTCAGTCACACCATGAAACGCGCTAAAAACACCTTTTGCCTCAGGTCTTTCTTGGTTATAATCACATCACCGGTATGGGAAACCTAGGAGGTCTGTTTTTAAAGTATCAGAATGAAGTTAAGTTCTTCGGTTTTCATTAAGTCTAAAGTCTTATATTTCGCCTGTGTGAGGTTTTCTGTAAGAGAAGCTCTAAAAGTCACTCAAAAATTAGGTCATAAACTGTACAACTCTCACAAGCACAAAGACCCTCTGTTACAGTCATGGCATTACTTACCTGAAGGGAATGATAAGACTGGATGGAAGGAAGAGTCCAGCTCTCGCACATAATCTAGTATTTTAGATTCTGTGTTGTATTCACTACTGCTCAAAGTGGAGGCTGGCACCACGTATGGTAACTGAGTTTTATATGGAAAGAAGGCATCTCTAGATGGTGAAGTCTGCAAGGATACACAGAAACAGAAGTCAATTTCTCTGTTACTCACCTCCTTGAAATTAGACCTGAAGGAAAAATAATGTCAGGGAGTGATAGACTTTAACGTGGGAACGGGGAAAAATATTCCTACAAACTTCAGCTGGACTTACCTCCACTTACCATGGACTCTAGTGCACAACACAAGGAATATAAAAACCCCCTTCAGTTAGGGCCAGGAAACAGCTGTCAAAGTTTCCAGAGAAAACATAACTGTTTCCAGTCATTATTTTGATATATCCCAAGACAAACAAACATCCCTTAAAATTCCATTCCAGCACAATAGGCACAATACAGATGCATAAACAAAACTAACATAAGACTCAATACAGGGGTCTCCTCCATTGATCCCCTTGGTAAGATTCTTAGCACTGACATCTCTAGACAGTTGGAGCTCATGCATTTTAATGCAAGACATGATATTAAACATTTTGAGAACACCATGTACTTATACAAAGCAAGAGGGCAAAGTCCTCACCTTGTTATAACTTAAGTATCAGATAAGCAACACAAAAGGAGACTCACAGCAATAAATATGGAGAGGAATGTATTCAGGATTTATTAATTGGTACTAAGCGGAATTACTAGAAAGAGGAGAGCTGCAAAGAGACTAATTTAGCTGTTTATTTACAAGGCTGGACTGCACAGGACTGGTAGATTCGAGGTAGCAGGACACTAAGGCAAAAAGGCAGGGTGAAAATGGGCAGGAATAAGCAGCAGAGTGCTTCAATATACTGAGCTCTGAAAGAGAGAAGGGAAGAATTCGATGTGCTACTACAGGGCAGCAGTCAAGAGCAGCCTGTGCTTCAGAACAGACTGCAAAAGCACTGCAGGAAGTAGTGTTGCTCACTCTACTTTCAGCCTCAGTGGATACTAGCAGCAGTAACCCCAAAGGTACGGACAATTTTAAAGGCCTCCGTAGGTGTTTGATGCTTTGCCAAAAGCTGCAGATGCTACACATGGAAGGGAGGGAAGGGGGCACTGGGGTACTTCAAGGGTCTCAGCCTAACACTGTGCAAACAGCCACATTTATCATCTGCTGGAAAAGGATTTCAGTGTGAAAAACTGTAAGACAGCGGTTGTCGTGATTTTCTTATGACTTTTGATGGAATGAAAGGAAAACATCTAGCAGCTGCATCAGAGGCAACTACTTGTATTTTCAGCACTTCTGCTTTCCGAATCCAAGAAACCCGTTCAGCTGCCTTCTCCAGCCTGAGATATTCTGCGCGCAATTCTAGCAGTGCCACTCATCCGTTAGTCAAGCACTGATTATACCCATCACACAAAACATCTCTCCACTTACTGAAATCAGTCCTTCTGTCAGGCACATCAGTGTTCACAACCCACACTAACTGAGACAAAAAGTTGCCTTTTCCATCTATCCTCTTGTTTTCAATCGACAATTTCCCTGTGCTGGTATTGTACTGCAGAAACTATTAAAATCAAGTAAGCATGTTATGATGCTGCGGCAGAGGAGATCCTGTGGTGGTGGGAGGGGCTGTTCTATTTCTCTTAATTTTTTTCCACAGGAAAACATTTACAGCACTAAATCCACCTTGATCTTTATACGCAGGTGTATGCATGAGTACTTCCAACTTAATTTAGAAAGAATTATTTTCTAGCCCAGGACTCCTTCAAATCAATGTTCTGTTATTTTGCTGTGACAGACATATGGGACTCTTCATCTGCTGAACTTCAAACATCCACAAAGTGCTGGCAGAACTGGCACCTGTGTTTGGAAATACTAGAGGGATAAATGCTAAAGCAAATTTAATGTTTCCTATTTTACGGACCATTAAACTAAAGCTTGAACAGCTTTTAGGTAGTTGCTCTACCTTCGATGCAATAAGAGCTTGCCTTTCAAAAACGCACAAAAGCATATTTCCTCTCGATATTTGTTTTTTAGAAATGAACTAGTTCACTGAATTTCCACTACTTAAGTGTACACTGCACCCCTTCTACTTGTTTTTTTGGGTTTGTTTTTTTTTACAGAAATGAACCCAGTAAATGATAAATCTCTCCTTCTTTAGAAGGAAATCCCCAAATACTAATCAGTAAAATTACCAAGAAAAATATATAGATAAGACCAACACATACTGACACCTAGTCCTTTAGTCCTGGCTCACTTTTCCTTGCCTTAATTCATTTTAATCTCAAACATATTTAGACTATAGCCTAAAGCTATGCCTAGCTCAAAACCAGGCATACAGGGTCAAATAACCTCCATAGTCTCAATTTATTTCAAAACAGTATTAAAATTAATTTACCAATGGTTGTAAATGTAGAATTCTTTTCCTCATCTTGCCTGCGGTGGGAGTTACAAAACCTTATATCCTTAAATTGTTTGTTATTTCCTTGGATGCTCTGACATCAACATCTAAATAATTAAATCTTTCATTAAGTCAGTTGGTAATTCAAAGGAAAATAAGGATTTATACAGAAGCAAGAGTAATTTTTGTTTTAATGCCTGTGAAGCTACTAGAAAAAAAGCCAAAGAATCTGGCAATGTCTGTGCTCCCAACTACTGGATCTGGTTTAAATTTCTGATTGAGTAGTTTTCCACTGGAAAATGCTGAATTAGTGAAATCATGATGTTTGTCAGTAGTGTCGATTTAAACAAGACTTGATGAAAAAAATCTCTGAAGCTCTTCATTCTGGAATGAAAGCATGTTGCTCAGTCAAAGAAAGTGCTTCAATCTTGTTGAAAAAAAATCAAAGAATTGTTTATTGGAAAATCTAAACTCTCTCCCTTCCAATTCAGTATAGAACACAGTCTACAGTCCAACTGGCTTTTATAGCAGTTAAATTACTGATTTTGCAACACAACAGCAAAAAAAACCCACCAAAAGCAACTGAAAACAACTCCAGAAGTACATCTATTCAGCAACAGTAATGACAAGTGCTCTCAGGAAAACCATGGCATACAGCTTTTGGAAGACAGACCCCTACACAATGCCAACCCTTCAGAAAGCAAGAGAGATTACTAAACTCTTATCAGTTTCCCCCCTGCTATACTATGCCTCATATATCTCCTGAAACATTTTTTTCAGCACTGAAATACAAAACCTCATGCTTCCTGAGCTCAAGTAGATATGAAGAATAACTTTCTATTAAATTGATTCTATTAAGAAAAATACACTGGATTTGAGATTAAATGAGAAGTGAGCAATCTTTGAATCTTCAACTAAAATAGCAGCTTTGTTTTAAACTTCATGCAGAATGGTGTCACCAAAATAATCTAATTTTCTGGTGTATTATGTATTTTAATCTTGGATTTTGTTTTCCCTTAGTATTGTTTTTACTGGGTCACAGAAAATAAGTGAGCAATTTATTTTGATATTCAAAACAATTCCTGCACTTATTTGTGATAAACTGATTAATTAGACAAAGCACGACTGGCTCATGTCTCTGTTCTAGAAGGGACAGAACACTGAACACTATGAGCCAATCATCCTTCTGCAGAGAAAAAAGCCTGAGTCCATGAAGCATGCCATAATTGAAAAGAAAAATGGTTTGTGCTCTCAGTTAAAAATTCTGAAGTGAATACTCGTTTCATAGTCTCAGCTAGTGATCACCGAAATTCCTACCATTTTTGGAAACATGCCTAAGTGTAACAGCACAGAGAGACACGGTTCAATTACCCCAACATGTATGAATCCAGTAAGTTAATTAAGTTAGCTCAAACACACTCTGCTGAATACCTGTCACGTCTGCTTCTGATTACTCTTATAAAGTGAAATAGGCAAGGAAAAAGGATTTATTCTCCCTACACCCATACACAGAACTTTTTGGCAATATCAAAGAAGAGATATCCCCGACAATATTAAAAACTGTTCACAGAATCACAGAACTGCTGAGGCTGGAAAAGACCTCCGAGATCATCAAGTCCAGCCTATGACTCAACATCATCACATCGGCTGCTCTTCAGTAAATGAGGAGACAACTACACTGTAGAGATTTAATTACGGGATCCAAGAGAATCACTGTGTGGATGGTTGATGGCTTCTCTTTGAACACCAAACACATGGCTAACTTTTAGTCCTCCAGAAGCACTATGTACAGCTAAAACCAACAGAACCCTGCGCGACCCGCTTGCTTCTGTGCTTCAGCATCTGCACTGAATGCCAGCCCACTGCTCCACCGCCTCCCTCTTCTGCACACAGCGACCTGCTCTGAGCAGAGCTATGTCCCTCTGGCAGAAAATATGTTTAAATGTGATGTCTTATTTCACAAGCTAAACACCAGGGGTTGCCTAAGCGGGACTTCACTGCAGAGTGCTTTCGGGAAACACACAACACATGGACAGCGAAAGATTCATCTGAAAGCCACAAAGACTTTCTCTCTTATCAACAGGTAGAGGGGGAAAAGGCGGCCAAAGCCCCTAAGATATCCCCACACGGGAAGGTGCAGAATGGATGGAGCTGACAATACACACTAGACTGTTCCTAGACTTTCCCTTCCAGATGAAGTTTCTAGCTATGTCAGACAGACAGACCTTTCCCATGCTGGCAATCTATAAGCAGGTTGGGTACAGCAAAGCAAGCTGCCCTCAGATGGAAACAAATTTGTCTACCTATGGCCTGTCTAAAGCTGTTGATAAGGGTAAAGTGCTAGATCCTGTGGCAGAGACCAGTTTTTCCAGGAACAGAACTGAGACTTCCACAAAACACTAACACAACTTACTCAGCATCCAGCTTATCTCAAATTCACATTTTTGGTCAGTGTCTTACAAGGAATGGCAGCTTCTATCATTCTCGGAGACCACTCACCTCATTTAAGTATACACGGCGTTTATTTTATTTAATTCTGTTATAAGCCAGTAGGAGATGGACTTTCACCTGAGAAGTGTAGGCTGCCCTCAACATCCTGAAACAAAGAGCTTTTGTTCAACTAGAAAATCAACTGAAAAATCAAAGTTAGTGCTTAATCTTTGACCAGTTAAACTGAAAGAAGGAAAGAAGGAAGAGG